TTTGCGATTCTATGTATAGCTTATAAATATAACTATCAATATAACTAGAGTTTACGACTCAATGTATAGTTTACAAATCATTTTGCACCTCTATTATCTTATTTGACATTTGCAAGAAACCTTTATGATTTGTTCCTGTTCTTCAGGGAAGAACTTGGAATCTGAGGCTCCCTCCTTCTCTCGGCTTAAGCCTGGGGAGAAAGACTCCAAAGTTCAGGGTCAGAGTCATTACTGAGATGTTGATGGGAGGGGACTGAGCTTTTGGATGACTCTGAAACATAGAGGTTAATAGAATATTAACAGCAATTACTTATTGTGTGTTTATTATGTGCTATGTGGTAGTGTATGTCGAATATTTCCCTACCCTCTCTTTTTAATTTATTTTAGATTTGCCATGTATTCTAATAAATGCTGTAAATTTATCTGGAATGCCTATTTTTATATTTTCCTTTGGAAACAACGGAGGTGGTGGTGGTGCTGTTGGTAGGCAAACTTGTAGATATTAACCAAAACGTAAATTTTCATTTAGTCCTAGATGATGCTGGGACTAAAGGAATTTGCAGGCCACTACCTGTGTATCCTTACCAGAAACCCCAGCTCATAATACACTGTATGGTCTTTTCCAGGGACGAAACTCATGAAAATTCTTTCAAATGGTTTACATTTGTATATATGAAAATAAGTGCAATCCAAGTTCGGTTTGGGAATACTTAGCTCTTCAGTAATTTGAAATGAGATGAACAGCCCCGCCCCATTTATCTAGATTGCGAAGTCCTCCAAATGTAGCTTAGATCAGAGTTGGCAAAAATTTTTGGCAAATCACCATACAGTGAACATTGTAGACTTTGCAGGCCATACAATCTCTGTCTCGACAATTCACCCCTGAACTTCGGAGTGTGAGCTACAAGAACAGGCAAGCGGCTATATCTGGCCCTTGGTCTGCAGTTGGCTGGACCACTGACTTAGATCCTCATGGTCACTTCTAGTTCTTAGGTTATGGTTAATCCTGAGTTATCTGGGTTTATAGCTATTCCTGGTTATGGATTATGGAACATGGGCCTTCCCTTCCCTCCACCCTCTTCTTTCATCCTGAACCCAGAAGCCTTGCTTTGTACATGCAAATGGCCCATCAGGGTATTTTCCTAAACAAAGGCATTTCCCTCAGAAGAGGAATTCTGCCCCTACTGTTAAGATAATAAGTACACCACAGATGGTGCTTTCAGTTGAGAACAACCACAACATAAAGGGAGATACAAAATTTTTGTCTGATTGTTCTGTTTGTCTATTCTGTGAGTGGATGATTTCGTCTGACAGTGGTACAAATTAATATCTAAGCTTCTGCTGGAACTCAACTGTTGTTGATTTTGTTGTGGTATCGGCGGTTCTAAATATAGGCAGGCAAGACAAGAAAAAGACACACCAAACTCCGTATCTATTTCGTTTTGGCAGTCTCTGAGAGCTTATATTTAAGCTTAAATTTAAATAAGCATTCTCATATTATCACTGCCGGTTTTAGAGCATTTCACTGGTGCTCTCATCGTATTACTCAAATGTATCAAAACCATACGGTTGGTTAGGGCTGCGTTGCTAAGTCACCTGGGGTTCCTTCTTTCTTTAGTACTTTGGCTTCTCTATGTTGGGGGTCTCACACCTCAGGCTCATGGGTCCCATCTCTGACCCTTGGTCTACACACTATCGAAAAACAGAAACAAGAACTAAGAAATAGTTGCCACCATTAAAAGGAAATTTTATCTAGAAACCTGATTTTCTTATTTCCTTTGGAAAACCAGACTTAACTAAAGATCTAAGGTTTTTCTTTTCTACCATTCTGTCTCTTCAACACTGAGCCCGAGTAGGGGGCACATGTAACCTCATAGCAGGCGCTTCTCTCTTGTGTCCACCTGGTCAGTAGAGGCATTGAGTTTGTGACCCCTGCTGGGCACATGTCCCCTAGGGATCTCATCAGCTACAGTGTCCACCTGTGGGACTTTTCACTCCATCTGTCCCCCTGAAGCATACTGTGGGACTCAGACACAAAACTGTGACCCGGTTAACTGTATGGTTATTATCAAGAACACGTTATGTTTCTGTGTTATGTTTTGTTCATTCGCTCAATGCCACTTTTTCCTTGCAAGGAAATACCTTTTAGAAGTTAGTCCCGAGAAAAAGAAAAGATTTTCTCTCTTCAAGAATTTTTAGAACATACAGACTTTCTGTTTCCGTCTGGGCTACTGGGAGGTTCAGAACTCAATTTAACAAGGCGTCATAATTCTGGTGATATTTCTCTCTTGATAATTATTTTAATACTAGTTACTAAAGTGAACATACATATACACGTGTTGTACAATTTTCCGGTCCATTTTGCGAGAGATTGGGCTTCAACGTGTCAGTGTTTAAGTGTTACTAATGTCTCAGAACCTGCCTCCGCATTGACAATAGATGTGTGTCCATAAAATACTCATCGGGCTATGTCATTATTCCCTTGCTTATTCAAGAAGGGATGTCTGCCTATCTACCACTTGCTCATAAGAAAGCCTATGTAATTATCAGAGTGTCCAAGCCCCTATCACATTAATCTACCTTCCTATCCATATATCTGTGAAGTCACTGGCCCAGCTCCCAGAAAGAGGATGTGGAATGACTTCCTCAGAGTCCCCAAAGACAATAATTTTATCTAAAAAGACTTAGTGTCAGATGTTCTTAAGGTATACTCTGAGAACAAATGACTTCTTCTTCATCTAGGCTCTTCGTTCTCCTTCACATGCAACTTAGAGAAAAGACCATGCTTACCTCATTTGCTGATGGTAATGCCGTCATCCTACATCAAGACAGTGGGGATCAGATGGGAGTGGGTTGACTTCTCTGTGGAACTGTTTTTCCAGAGTTAAGAGGCCCTGGTGTCTCTGGGTAAAGGTCAGTCAATGGCATGGACTATCTGATCAGCTTTGCGCCACTCCACTCCCAGCTGGTTTTGAGATGAGTTGTAACTCGTCTCAAGTAATATACTCGGATGGATGCCTTGGCCTGTCTCAGTAAAAGACAAGTGACACACTGAAGTCTAATTTGTCATGGAAGGTGTGCAAACAATATGTTATACTTATTAGTCTTTTGAGGACAAGCCAGTTTTATAGCATTCCACTTTATTTCCGTCACCACAAATGTATGAACACGCACCCTTTAGTCAGTTGTCCCCCTGCGCCATGGCCTGATTAACCGAGACTGTCGTTTATTAGCAAGAGAAGTAATGAGGTGATATTTGGAAAAATAGGATTTAGTGGAAAGCCAGAACATTCATTTAGATGGGATCTCATTCAAACCTGAGCTAGCATCATCTAGAAGAAATGAAGGCCTATGTAAGTTCCTGTGGGAGGGTCTAAGCCCATCTTTTGGCTACTTTTAATCTCATCGAATTAATCACTGGATCTGTTTATCTTTGTCATGAGAAGCATCTGCCATTAACAAAACCTGTTCCCCTTGGAAAACTATTAGCTTTCAGTGATTTAAAGTAAGTAATGGGGCACTCTGAATAAATTGTATCCAGCAAGAGACACCATTTGATAATTCACACTCTCATGAGAAATATTGAAAGAACCTTTCTACAGGCAATAATGTCACATTCCTTATTATGGTTAGCATAACTTTAACTCTGACAAGTTTTATTTTTAGTCCCTAAAGGATGTGTTTATCAGAATGTGCACAGAAAATAACGTTTGAAAAGAAAAGTTATTTTCTGCAGTCACAAAAATCTATTAAGGTGAATTTTTTTTCAAGTACAGTGATTTTTTTTTTAAAAGATCAGTGACAAGAAAGCTGTTTTTGCATCTATATTTCATATACATAAAATAGCACACTGTTGAACTATTTAAAATAGTCACAAAGACAAGTTAAGTGGCTTCCATGTCTATAATTAGGAAGGTTGAATTTTTAAATTATTTTTATTTTTTAAAGATTTTATTTGTCAGAGAGAGAGAGAGAGCACACGCGAGCAGGGGGACAGCGGCAGGCGGAGGGAGAAGCAGACTCCCCGCTGAGCAAGGAGCCCGATGCGGGGCTCGATCCCAGGATCCCGAAGGCAGCAGCTTAACCAACTGAGCCACCCAGGCGTCCCTTAAATTATTTTTAATAGAGGTGTGTCAGAAATGCCTTTGTCGGCTAAAGTTTAGAAGTGTGTAAAAGTCGCCTATGAATATTTATGTCATTAATGATAATCATAAGGTAGTAAGCTTTGTGCTGCCCATCAGTGGGGATTGTGGCATTGAGAGTCACAGCACTTAATTCATGTTACCCTCTCCAGAAACGCCGGGTGGACAGTAGTCAGGGCAGCTTCTGATGTTTCTCTTCAAGAATTCTGGTGGGGCTCCAAAGCCTAGAATTGGATCTTTATTTCTAGCTCCTGTCACTACAGCCCGCTAAAACAACATTCAGCCTCAGCTCCAGCGGCTAGTTTGTGCGCCCGCTGATCCTCATGGTTTTGGTGTCAGGCTTCGGTTTGTGTCTTTGTAGGTAAAACATATCACCCTATCATATTAGTGATCCAGGGCACCGCTAGCGACTACCAGGGTAGCATATAATGATTCCTATGGAAATACTGAAAATAGATGAGCAAATACCGTAAGTATAAGATTTTATTTTTGTTTAGCCTATGGTAAATATATGATGCTACTTTGTTGTGCTTTTTCTGGTTATATTCTGGTTGAATCATATTCTGTTTCAACGAGACTGTTCTGAGTTTGCTCAGGTCTCCTAGTTTCTTGTGAAAAGACATGTGTACTGTCGCCTATGCATATATTCCCAGGAGTAGCAGATTCTTCTCTATTCATTGTATATTGAAAAAAATACATGGACAAATAGTTCATGCAGGACGAGGTGCGGCCAGGTCATCCCTGCCCCAGGGCTGACTCCTTCAGCCTGGCGGACAAGTTTCTGGAGGAATAAAGAAAAAGTTCAGAGAAGCTCCCATTCTTTTCTCTAACTGTCTTTTCTTCCTCTTCTCTCGACAGGAACTTTTTACCCCTGAATGCAAGTTTAAAGAATCTGTTTTTGAAAACTATTATGTAATCTACTCATCTATGCTATACAGACAACAGGAATCTGGTAGAGCCTGGTTTTTGGGATTGAATAAGGAAGGGCAAGTCATGAAAGGAAACAGAGTAAAGAAAACCAAACCAGCAGCTCATTTTCTACCCAAGCCATTGGAAGGTGAGTGTTATGTGAACATTATCCCTCTCAGTCTATGACACATTTATTTTTCCCATTGCTAACTCTACATTGGCCACAAGGAACCCTCAGAGAATGCTGGAAATTTTCCGTATCTTGATCTGGGTGGTTGTCACACAGATGTCTACTTAAATTATGAATTTAAGATTTGTACACTTTATATATATATGTGTGTGTGTGTTTATACATTTTTAGATATATAATATATACACACATATACATATATACACAAATTGACAGAGTATATAAAAATATATCACATACATACACATATAGCTAAGTTTTGAAAATTACGGAATATAAGTATTTGCCCATTTTGATAGTATCCAGCTGAAAGTAATCACATACTTGTGAATTACTATAATTACAGAAAATAAAGAGTTAATCTCTTGGCCTTTAAAGAGCTTGTTGATGTCAGCTATCTCCCTTCAAGCTGTAAACACTTGTTTAGTAAACTCAGTGTGGCACTGCCTTCTTCTATATTCACCTGTAAACAATGAAACTTTCATGTTCACTTTGATCAGATTCCCAGAGAGCAGGCTATAAAGTGTTGCTAATTAATCAGAAACTTCTGCACCTTTTTCATTAAGGATTCTGACAGAAGTGCCATTTATCTTATATATATAGTATTCAAGAACTAGAAAAAAAAATTCATCTCGAGGCATTTCAAAAGTGTTGTCTATTCAAATACTTCTACCTTTCGCAGAAAAGCAGATCTACAATAACTCAATAAACACTTTCATCTAACTTAGTTTGATTTTCTTTTCATTTTTTGTTCCTAGAGGAAAGGTTTAGCCATCAAGAGAAAATGTATATTGGTTTCATAATCCATCTTCTCTATATAGGAATAAGATAATTCCAAATATTGAAGGTTAATTATACATTTGTGGATGTATAATTCAGCTTTCACTTTGCCTACGCTTGGAAAACCACTCTTGTTGGTTAATATCATCTTTATAATTTCGACAATGATGGCTTACTATCCCCATAACTAAATTTGCCTATAGAACAAGTCATTGAAACCTAGACAATTCGCCACCAGGGCCTATCTATGAAAGGAGAAATTATGCCAGAGTCTGAAATATGAGTGAATTATTCTCATTATATGATAGATCATCAGACAATTAGAGTAGAAATAAGAAATGAGAGCGTTTTACTGTCCTTCCAAAGTAACACCTCTGTGATTTGGCCTTACTGTTTAACATGAATGGAGACCATCAGACTCACCAATATTCAAATGCAAGTGAAACATTTGAAAACTAAGTCCATAAATCTTGTTTATTTGCCACCTTGCTTTGTCTCTTTGCATTAACTTTTGTTTTGAATATGAACAGATATGAACTAACTAAATTCTAAAACCTTATCTTCTAGCTGCATAAACATAATGAAAACCAAAAGGGCCTTTATGTCTCTTAACTGAGGCAAAAGCTGGAGACCAGCTATTTTTGTATATCTAACAGGAAATATCTAAGACTGAGATGTTGGGTGTAATAATATCACTTGGTATTTGAATCATACACTGAACAGTTGTGTGTATGTGTGCGTTGTGCGTTCATGGACTTCAGAGGCAGAGAGAAACAGTATTTTCAAATAATTGACAGAAGTACCCTAAAAATAACTAAGGGGGTATTATAATGACGGAGGTTATCACATAGTGTAATTTATAGAGGAAGATTAATTTCAAACTTTCAAACCCCATACAGGATGTAAATTATATGATTGGAAACGTTAGGGCAAATTAGGTACTTGATTAATCATTGATGCTCTGGGGCATTCATATCTCTCACACAACTTCACCGCATGGACAGTCAAGGTTAATCCTCTGACGCCATTGTCTCCTAATTGAATTAGTAGCGGGGGTGAGAGATTGGAAAGCGCTTCAAGGATATGGATTAATCTCTTTTAGTACCTTGCGGACTCATCTCATGCAGGTCTGGTATACACGTGCACTTTCAGAGCTGTGTGCTGCTGAGAATCCACATGGTGCATTGACCCAAGAGCTACAGATCTACCACCCTGAGCGTGGAAAATGCCTATGATAGTCCACCCACCCGACCATGAAGAGACAGAGAGTCTCTTCATAAAATATCGTATAAACGAAACACTCTCCAAAGCCTAAACAGCAGGTTAGACAGCTCTAATTCACTAGTATTTCTGATGGCAGATGATTCTAACTCGGTGGATTTCCCCCCAGTGTTACATGTCCTAGGACAGGATTCCCTAGAGTCAGTTGCCAAAAAGCCACATGAACTGTTGTGATTAACTGCGCCACTGGATACTCCTCAAGCAACTCCTCAATGCTCACTCGCACGTCGCTCCCACTTGCCCTCTTGCCACTCTGTGCTTCTGCCTTATTTTTAACAAGCTATCAGAATACGAGGCATAAAAATACAAAATGCCCCACCCGTGTCTTCAGTTTCCGTGATGGATGGAGAGAAAATCTAAAGGCTGATCTCCAGAAGGCCCTGGCTTCAGGAAAGTGAGATCTTGGTCATTGCTTGGGGATAGCTTTGAAGTTGACACTTAGTGTGATTGTGTTGCTTTTGAACCACTTGAGAGAAAAATAATGTAATGATCTAGGGTGTACGTACCTGGCCTCGCAAAGATAAATGGGAACGAGGGGGTTCAGGGGTTGACATCGGCGTGCCCTGGAAGTCTGCGTTTTCCTGGCTGTACAAAGAGAAGTAGGTTAAGTGCTCGCCCGTCCCCCACACCGTGCGTGCGTGTGCGTGTGCATGTGCATGTGTGCGCGCATGCGCCTTCCATCTGAGGCGCGCGAAGAGGCCACAGCTCCTGTTTAAACCTCGTCTCCTAGATAAAAACCCAGCGCACCCGTGTCCATACTTTAGTTCTATAAACCAAAGAATGCGAAGGAAGTCATTTCTGCCTGGCCGGGGGGGGGGGGGGGGGGGGGGAATGACGGCTTCAACACAGCAATTCCCTCTGCTGCGTGGGGTGCCTTTACTCCAGGCGCGTAAGGACTGGCCGTGCTCGAAACTAACCAGGTCGTGTCTCCTTCCCTCCTTCCTTCATGCCCTCCTGCCTGTCACCAGTTGCCATGTACCGAGAACCATCTTTGCATGACGTCGGAGAAACGGTCCCGAAGGCCGGGGTGACGCCGAGTAAAAGCACAAGCGCGTCGGCAATAATGAATGGCGGCAAACCAGTCAACAAAAGTAAGACGACATAGCCAGATCCTCACAGGTGTTGTGACTTTCTCGTCCTGAGCACAGTTGAGTGATTTATCCTTGCCAGACATTCCTGCTCCCGTGGCTGAGGAGCGGCTGGAAGCAAGCCGAGGCTTGCTCTCGGCTGTCTCGAACTTCTTGGTTGCAAGCGGATAAATCTCAACCTGTCGCGCCCCCAGAACAAGAAGACACCTGGACAACCAGCTAAACTCAGACCATGGAATGCCCTACCAGATATGGAATGCCTTTTTAATATCTTTTCTGTGACCGTGACACTTCATGTGAATGACACACTTCACAAGTACACTCGATACCTTGCCTGCTGACAGCTACCCATAATCCTTTTTGAGTCCTGTTTCAGCGAAATCCATGTGTTTCAGTTCAATTTTGTAGCACACCAATACTATTGAGTAATTTCTAGTTAGACGCTGTAAACCTGTGCTATTATGGATTTCTCTTCTCCCCGTTTTTACAGGGCTGCTCGCTCCACTGTCTGTGACCTTTTGCAGAGATTGTACTCCTCTAAATCTTAAATGTGACAGTTGGCCTAGTTCGGAGAGCAATCAGGGAATCAGGAAGCCTTCTAAACCTATTATTACAAATTGCATCTATAAAGATTAAGAGTGTTGTCTCCGGCTCCCACTATCGATTAAACACACATATACGCTCTGTCCAGTAGCAGATACTGTGCTCTTGAGGACGGCGTTGCCTGGGTGAGAAATGGGTCAAACACAGTCCAGGGGGAAGCTCTCTACGATATGTGTTTGACCTTCCCCCTATAGTTTCTTTGTGTGTGTGTGTGTTTTATACATATCACAAGCTTACTGGTAATGGTAACATTTGCCTTGCCCAGCGAGCAAGACCCACCGTTTTTGAGAAAGTGGGTCCAAAGAACTCTGTAGGCCTTGTAGGCCTGATTAAGGTTCATTTTTCATCTACTGATCCTCATTATTTGGAAAAAAGAAAAAGAAAATTCAATAATTACAACCTACAAGAATTGCGCTACCTAAATCCATTTCCGATATAACCCTACCTGTTTTTAATGACCCGAACTGAATGCCACCCCCGGTTTTGGCTGCGTTCCACTCATACTCAGCAGAGCATGGGCAAGGCGGCTGTTGTGTTCTTTTCTGCAGCAGCAATGCAAACGTTAGTTATTAAATTAGACTTTAATATTTTTGGTGTTTAATGACAAGTTTTTAAACTGGACATATTAGGAAAAACTATTTTTTTTAGCTCAGCATGCTGAGTCAGGAACTGTGTATCTCACCACGCCATACCTGTAACTCAGCTTCTTGGCGCCCCGGTTGCCCAGTGGCTGGGGTGAGGTGCCTTGCCATGAGCTCAGAATGCAATCTGTTGAATTCTTCTGGATAAAATTCAAGGCAAACCAACACGTTCCAACATCAGGTTTTTGGTCCACTCCATTGATTTGCTTTTATTTTGCTTTCTTAATTTCCTTTTGCCTAAGTCCGAGCATAGGGAAGACAACCGCTAAGAAAGGCCACCACCAATGGTTGACTGCACAGGGAAGAAACCATGCAAAACGTTCGCTATGGGATGTAAGGAGTTTCAAAATGTGGAATACGAAACTGTTTGGAAATATATTTGTTAACTCTGTGTATACTTAATAAAATTCAATGTTTCCTCCTCAGAAGAGTTAACTGAGACCAAACTGAACCTCATTTATAGAAAACTATATGCAGGATCATGTACTGGCCTCTTGTGATTATTTCCATGAGGAAGGCTGGCCCAGTCGCCATCCCCCCCCCCCACCGCGCCCCTTTCCCCCCGCATCTGCACTGTATTTCCTGGGAAATTATTTTGCGTTCCTAAGTCTCCATGACAGCCCTTGCCCGGCATTTAAAAAATTTTGGCCTGCTTAGCTGATTAAAGATTTAGTATAAATTTAACTGTTTATGCTTACTTCATTTTCATATTGGATTTCATTTTAATAAATAAAAAGTTAGCATAACGTTTGAGTAGATTTATTGTCAATAATGCTAAAGTACGAATACAACAAAACGATTCCTTCAACCATTCTTGATTTCTTGTGACACCGTTTTAAAGCCTATTGTTTTCAACAGGATGAGTTAAAATCCGTTAGATGAATTTCACGAACCAATTATTTAGGGAAGACATGTATTCTATAATCTGTGGCAAACCGAATTATTTAACTTGACATTCCAATTAGATGGGCTTATAGACACTGCTTGCCCCAACACACACACCCACACACACACAAACACCCGCCCCCCCCCACACACACACACGTACACACCAAACAACCCCACCTATTTGTTTCTGGTAATCAGCCCTACTTGCTATTTTTTTCCCCCTGCAAGCCTATTTATTGGTTAAAATTAAGACAAGATTTATTTTTGTAAATGACTGAGATTTATGTCAATGTGCACCTCTGTTTTGTTTTTTATATGAGTTGTCTCCAAGGGCATTTATCCCTATGAATGGATGTCAAATACTTTCTTCTAATATATGTTTAGACATATTGCTGACAGGTCCTTGTTATTTGTAAATTAGACGGTTTCCTTTGTGTCTGGTCTCACCTGTTGCATGGGACGAGCACAGCACCGATGAACTGCATGTAGTAGGACCTGTGTATCAAGAACTGTTGGTATGTACTATTCAATTTACATACAAAGAGTCTGTCTGCATTGTACAGTTTCTGTGTTTAATACCATTTGTTGTATTCACAAATACAACATATTGAATAAAATATTGATATGAAGGCATATTACAAAACATCAAACAACTTTATGTGACAAAATGGCATTGCTTCACCCACGAATATAGAGAAATGTCATGTAAATAAGTTGGTACACTCAATGTTCCCCTTGACCATGCCAAAGAAAATTTTAGCTCTTTGATGATACCTCTCTTGCTATTTTTCTGGGATAAGATGCCACCATTTTTTCCCCTCAAAAATTAAGTTTGCTGTTATTAAGCAAGTGCAATCTGTCATCATTGATGTTCTGTATAGTAAATCTGATGGAATTCATTTGTATCTACAGACCGTGTGTTTTGTACCTCCATGTACATATGTCAGTTGCATCGAGTCTCTCTAATGTTACATTCCTTTTGCATGCCTATCTGGTAGGGGAGGATTACTTCTACTGATCTGTTACGGTAGCTGATTGCTTCACCCATCCCTCTGCAACCCTTGGGAATGTTCGTTGTTTTGATATTCCAGGGGACACCACTTTTATTTTAAGTTTGCTTTCTAAAATATTTGTCTACAACTTTACTTGGAAAAATTATGGAAGAGATGCAGATGGTGCACCCTATGTAAAGAGTAAAATGGTACTGAGCAAGATTTCGTTACAAATCCTGCGGAATTTAGAGATTCTTGCCCTAAACATTTGCCTGCCCTGAGTGTTTGGGGATAGGAGATAGCTTTAGGAGCTCCACAAATGGGCCAACAAGACTCCTGCTGCAGTCCTTCTAATTGTTTACCTCTTGGAGAGTAAGCAGAGTGAGTATTTTTAACACACCTGGCCAGTTGCTCACTTAATGCCTAAAGCACTAAAACAGTCAGATGTTTTCGAGATGACCAATGTTAGATTTGGTTTTCTTTTAGAAAACAAAACAACAACAACAACAACAACTTCTTGTTCCTTAAGTTAGACATGTATCACTTCATTTAAGGTTTTATTCCTAATACTACAGGGAGAACTGATGTTTGAGGGAGAGACCAGATTGACTAAGAAATCCATTTTAGGAGGAAATAAAATAATTGAAAACTATTTTCCGATTGTATTGAAGAACAAGACTATTTCCAGGGAAAGCAACTGGCTAAACACAAACATACCAACATCCAGACGCAAACGGTGTTACTTTGGAGTAAAATACACTTCCTAGCCTAAGTTTCTTAGCTTACAAGGGGGCACACAAGGCCTATTGACTCTTGGATAGTGGGTAGGGCTTCAGAGTTTGATAGTGAGTCTGCAAGCAAAGGCTGAGTGGTGATTCGTTTTTTTTTTTCCTCAGTTATCATTCCGTCTGATCCTGATGTTTGCTGGCAAAGATTGTGTTTGCATTTGAAGTGGTGGAGGCCATTCCTTTCAAGGTGCTGCAGGAATCTAGATGAGCTCAAGGGGTCCCGGGAGAAAATGGGGTATAATTATATTAGCCTCCTGGGTCTTAGGACCTTAGCTGAATTTTACTGAAAAGTCCTTGTGGAAGAATTCCTCAGTAATGGTGTGCCAACAAGCAAGGTGAATGCCAACACCAGCGGCAGACGTGTCGCGTGCTTCCCAACGGACGTTCATCTCCCCACAACTTCACACGGACTCGAACAAGCCGATGAGCTTCGCACATTTACCCTTCCCCTACTACAAGTCTGTTCCTGCCCTGACTTTTTTTGAAAGAGGGAGTTTTTTACCTTGGTAACAATTAAAAGTTAAAATACAAAATCACATCAAAGAAGGATAAGATTTACCTCTTTACATGTAACTGTATTTTATTTTTCCCAACTTAAACATGTAAATTAAATAACTGCTTAATAGGTCTATTGATGATTGCATTGCTAGAGTCAAAATCATATACACGCATACGAAATATTATAGCAGACAGAAAGGAGTAAAAAGAAACTATTTCTGTTTTAAAAGAAAAATATTCATTAGCGATTAGGTACCAGGTGGACTTATTCTATAACTCAGTTTCAGTTCAATAACTTGTAGCTAAATCAACCCAGGAGAGAGCTGACTGTCATATATTTTCTGCCTTGTCAAAAAATTTGAACAAATCACATTGCGAACTTTCTAGTATAATTTCTCCGTCTCGAAACTTTTCCCTAAAAAACGTAAATGCTGAGGACACTTTTCTTATATGAAAATATAAAAAGAGAAGCCCTTTCTTTGTAGTTGTTAACAAAAGGGATAACAAACGTAGAGAACCGCAAGAAAAATAAGACACACCCAGGATTCCAGGATAAGACAAAGGAAATTAAGGGCAGCTTCAGGAGAGCTCAGGTTGGCAAAATGCTGCCTGAAGGCTGGGAGCCAAATCGAGCACGGTCTGTTTTTGTAAAAATGCCCATGAGCTCCGAATGAGTTTGCTTTCTGTTTTCCCTTTACTAGTTCTAAAGTATTAAAAACAGAGAAGAAGATCCAACAGAGATGTATGTGGCCCACAAAGTCTAAAATATTTACTCTGGTTCTTTATAGAAAGCAGAGTTCTGCAGGAGGGGAAGCTGAAGGTCGTTTGTATTACGATGGCTTCTAGATAATGAAGGGAATTCTGATGATGGTGCATCATCAAGTCATCAAAAGTGCTACTGAACAATTACAACAGGTTGGTCTGAGGCTTAAAACGATTAGATAGAGAGGAGGAAAGAATATATTATTTCTCAACTACTTCTATTTCCCTCATTTTACAAAACTGATATATCAAGGGACATACTCAACAATAGAGATACAACTAATATGGTTGCACTCCATAATCTCAGGATAGAGATAACAATTTTATAAATCTATTAAAGTATGAGAACACTATTAGTACTATAAAAGTCAGCATCGGATAAACTTTCTCTTAAATAATTTTCAATATTAAATTTTTAAGTAACTCGGCAGATGCATATTTTCCTTATTTTTGGTGACTTGACTTATAAAGTCCAAGCCATGACTCTAGAATATTTACATCATTAAGTAAAATTTCCAAGTAAAAATTTTCATCTTAAACAATGCGGAAAAAATGGTTTTGTTACATTATTCTAGGATTTTACAAAATATAATTCACATTTAGAAAAAAAGTGGGTTTTTTTAGCTCCAAATAATTAAAGGTTGCCTAAACTAATGTGTGTAAGTAGATTTAACTGTAAATATGTAAGGGAAGTCCTAATTATTGTACATTTTCATAATTCAATGTGAATTTCATACAGCAAAATTTCACCATTAAGAAAATAAACATTTTGTTCCTATCACTGAGTGAATATTTGTAATTTCTACTTAACACATTTCTAGATTTTTTTTTAATCCTTTGAGCTTTGAGACTGGTGTCATTTGATCACAGTATCTCTTCTTGACTTCTTTGCATGACCCTACTTTTGCAGTAAATAATGTGTGCTTAGAAATAAGAGTCTTTTAAGGGAAATGAATGCATATTTCAGGCCCATCCTAGGTCCAATTAGATATTGTCTTTTTAAAGGCAAGTTACCATGGAATAATTTAAATAGTAAAAAATCAAAGACCTTGTACTCCTACCCCTGCCCCATTTAAAAAGGGATCTAGGAACAGAAGATGCCCCTGAATACCAATTCATTTTGTGCTGTTGTTAATCAGCAGTAGGCAAATATATATTGACACAGATTGTAAGCAACTTACGTAACTGTTTATTTAAAATGTCAAACTGTACATTTTTCATACTTCCTTCCTGAGAGAATCTTCTTTTGTGAATTTAAAGTGAGATCAGACGAATGACTTACTGGCTAAAACTGACCAGTCTTTTTCTTTAAAAAGCACTGACGATCCGCCCTCTGCCCTCCATCTCCCCCACCCCCCGACATTTTCCCTTATGTGTGCTTGTCTTTATTGTCCCCACATGGAAATGCTGAGTGACAGGGATTCCTGAAAAAAAAATATGATCGATGGATTTATGTGAGGGTATTTCCTTAGATTCTCATGGGGTTTTTCTTGTGAGGGATATGCATGTCTAAGGACCATGTAATTCAACGTTTCTCAGCTCTGGTACTATTAACGTTTGGAGTCCGCTTTTTGTCGTGGGGGCCGTCCTGGGCACTGTAGGATGTTTAAGCAGCATCCCTGGCCTCTACCCATTAGAGGCCTGTAGCATGCCCTCCCATCCCACTCGGTGTGACAACTGAAACTGTATACATTGCCAGGTGTTTTCCGGATGGCAAAGTCACCCTTGTTGAGAACCACTGATGTGAATTCTGGAAGAGAAATTTTTTCTGGCATTATTTACATCAGACTTTGCTTAATTCATTTTTTAATGGGGACCCAGACTTCATGCAGGCATTCAGAAACAGAAAAACATACAATAGTCTCTTTGACCTGTCCTAGTGGTGATTATACATGGTTGCCTTTGCATTTATATTGTTCTAATGGAAAAGTAAAGACTCCAGTCCTCTCCCATGTAACTGTTAAGGATACTCTGTGCCAAGCCAGATTTCACACGCATTTCCGTTCCATCCATCCCAGCACTCACAGTTCCCGCAATTACAGATTCCATTCCCTGCAAGAAAACACACGGGGTATCATAGGACATCATGACCGAAATGCACCAAGTTAAAAAAATGTTCTTATCAACCACAGCCGCTCATAGTCGAAGCCATCCCATTCATCCTCTGCAGCCACCTTATTTGACCTCATTAAACAGCTATGGGAAATCTGACCTTTCAAACGATTGCTGGCACCCACCTGGTGCCACCAGCTAGGTAGTATCCACCCAGTAGTGCCCACCCTGTTCCATTCCAGCTGGGCTTTGTCTCCATCTCTATTTCCCCTGGACCTTATTTAAGCACATGTGTTTTATAAGCAGTTCTCAGGACTCGATAATCAGGAAGCAGCCCCGACCACACAGCCATGGGCGGCACCATGTGGCGGGTGCTGTTTGTCTTTCTCCTGAACCGGGGGTACGGAGCAAGCAGAGCAGGTCATACCGCACCTGTGCAAATGAGGCCGTCGTGCTTGTCACAGTCCCTGTCGTCACAGTCACAGAGTTCTCCCGAAATATACCACTCTTCCGCAGAGCAAAGGCACTTTCCACAGTGGCAAGAACCTGAAATCACAAAGGGCACAACTCGCTGTCAGCACGTAACTAAAGGTTGCTGTCTAGAATCGAACACCGTCAATGCACGGACAACAGGCTTCTAAAAAACCCGTCTTCCCAAAGTACAAGTTTATTGAAGAGCCTGTTGCTCAGAGGGGAGCTTTACTTACCACAATTCATAAAGGTTATCCAGGAAAGGCTTCATTATGGATCTAGACAGTTGCAATTAGCCTTGAGCAAATGTTCCATGGCCCAGTCTGGTTGAAATGTCAGTAAGAGCAGAATGTGCCGATTCTTATAGATGGCCTTCCAAAAAGGTGTTCAAAAACAGATGCTTTTCTCTTTCTCTTTCTTTTCCCCCTGAGTTGAATCATGTTTTAAAAGTGTCTGCTCTTTAAAGGAACTGAACGGTAAGTTCTAGTAAATAAGGATGCATTTTATAATTAAAATCACTACTAAATTATTGGGCTTCTAGTTTTGGATTTTTGTCTACATGATTTTCTGAAAGGAGGGACACACCTGCGTATTGGGTGGCTCATCAGTGTGCTCCAAATGCATACACAACCACTGGTGGGCATCTGACTTATGGGATCTCACCCCGGGGACCCCCTGCCACGATCAAGTAGAGCTCTAATCTCCCCCCAAAAGTTCATTTTCTATGAGGCTCTGCCAACTTTCTCATTACTTCACCCATTTCCCCTCTTTTTATTTCCTACCAGTAAGAAACTTCCACTTTCACTATTAAAAATATCTTGGTGTACTGAAAAACAATTTTATGAATGGTATATTTAAAAGGAGCAAAAACATACGAATTAAATGGTCTCACAAAGAGAAGAAAGTTTTCTTGGTCTACCCGTCCTTATATGACAGGCTCAAAAACCCTCACATGGCAAAATGACTTCTATAGCAGCAGTAGAGACAACTTTAAAATTACAAGACCAGTGCTCTAACCCCTGAGCTATAGGGCCTCGCGACAACTTTAAAATTAAAAAGGAAACACACAAAGGAAGGACTTCCCCTTCCTATGTCCTTGGCTTGGATGTTCCTTCCCAATGTGATTTCCTTTTACTAAAGGAGGGCTATCACTACATGTTTCAGGTCAAAAATCACCTTAAGAGAATGTGAAGGAGAAAAAGCATTTTGATATATTTGACAAAATTCCAGACTTGCTAAGTTCAAAATGTAATGGGAGCGGGGCAGGGACCAATCACTAATTAGTGCGTCTGTGAGACACAGTGATGGAGAAATGAGTTAACAAGCTGGGAGATAAAAGTGGTTAGAGAAAGGAATATTTGCCATAGATATCATGAAAGGATTCATATAAACGGGTCCCATGCCTCAGGCACTTGGTGATATTTCATACGGAAACTGCCACGTGCATTTAGCTACAAGAATCCCCAATGGCCAAATTAAACGTGTGACATGCCTTGTTACACTTCTCAAGGTAAGGGGCAGGTCTGAATTAGTGATAGGCTGACAACTGTGTTTACACTGATCAACTCCTTGCTTAAGCACAGCATGATTTCATTTAGTCTGGACTGTTTTCCTGAGGGTCTAGGATGATCTGCATGCTCTTGACACAGTCTAGACATCTCTCGCTTCTGATGAGTGACTGGCAGGCTGCATAGGACCCAGGAGCTGAGCCTTCTGGTCAGTCCGTGAGGGACGGTGGCTCCTTCTTGGCTACATCCAGGTAGAGAGCCTCCTTAGTTTAGAAGTGTATTTATCTTCACTTCAAGTACTCTCTTTCGATCTTCGTAGGCACAGAAATGTTCAACATACAACCACTAATTTAGCAGGTGGTTAGTGATATATCTACAACAAAGAAAACTTGGGGCGTTTTATTGACTTTTCATTGCAATTTCCTCAGAAGGCACCATATTTACTGCCTTCTTTCCACGAGTAGAGGAAGATTAATTATTTGAAGAATTTGACCGGTTTCAGTTGTTTCTAAAATAGTGCCTCCCTTACATGGCAAAATTAGTTCTAGAAAGAAGCAGAAGCAAATGACTTTATATGTCCATGATATTCGTGCATCACACCTAGGATATCTTCTTTTATTTGATCACATTTCATGAAAAGATCTCACATTTCACTCTTAAACTTATCCCCTGGCTCTGAAACTATTCTCATCGCTGCTCTAGCTTCTGAAATGCTTAGCTTCAGGCCATATCAACATAGTTTCCCAAAACCGATAAGCTCAGCTAAAGTTAATATGGTATACATTGACAGACAGTTTGACAAGTAAATCCCAGTTCCCAAAGTCTACTAGTTACTGAAATACTTAGAATGCAAAATGCGGATTGATTTTTGTGTGTGCTGTGAAAACTAGCTTTTCTTGGTCAGCATCTTCCCCAGCTGTGTTGCTCCTTTCCTGTTTGTCAATTCTCAGTGTATCTTAGAGGTCGGAAATTCTTCCACAGCTTGTGAAACTAGGAATAGCCTTGCATGTAATAACACAGTGGGTAGTTATGAGGACCTCTTATAGCCTTTGTCTATGGTCTGGCTGTTTTCATCGATAACCAGAGATCAAATTGCCTGTCTCTGCAGAGGGAAAAATTGAGGCAGAGGATTCTGTTGGACACACACAGGCCACATGACTGCCAAGAGGTGACCAACGGTTTAGCTCAGCTGGCTGGGACCCACTCACACCCATGAGGCCAGTCCAGCCATAGGAGAAGCTGGCCCATGCAGGCAGGAGCTCCCGGGTAAGCCCAGGACCACAACATCACTAACCCATTTACTTTCTTTCTCGCTATGAGGACCCCCAAGAGGGCTCCGATCTCTCTTCTGTGCTTCTTATTGGCTTCCATTCCCGGGGAACCAGCGCATTTTCTCATTTGTCTTCAAAGCATCCTTAGGACTTAAGGGGAAGGAAATGAAATTCTCCTGCCTTCAAACAAAGATGAGAAAATGGAAGAACAGACAGGATAAGGGGCTTGCCCAGGGCCATGGGGGCCAGAAACAACAGTTATCCCAAGGTTTCCATCTCAGTCTGTTCTGACTACCTACCTACCGACCCATAATGCCCCTCGCAGGAAAAACTTCCATATAGTTTCAAAAAATGAGTTGTGTGTTCTCACAGCTCTGACGAGACAGCCACATCGGGGGAAGCAACTAGAACACCGGGCTAAAGCTGGTTTTTGAAGGGCAACTGGTACTCCTTCCCCTTCCTGGGGGTGGAGGACGAGCCCGGGTGGAGCAGAGGGCATGACAGGTGGGTGGGCATGTGCACCGTGACACCCACGGCTGATGCGGGACTCAGCAAGCATCCTTGGGAGAGTTTAAGGAGACATCCAATGATACGCAACCACAGTCATCGTCACACAACAGCAGCTTTAAGAGTATTACAGGTGACAACCTGGATCTAGGTTGAAGTTATGAAGGTAAAAAGGCTGTTGGGTACTCTTGGATCCAAATAAATAAATCCCCAAACAGCCTATGAATTATGTCGCGTATTCCGCAAAGGTGGCTAAACTCAGGGGACACTTGGCTCTAAGCTCATCCCTCTGGCTGTTCACAGAAACAATTTGAGTCTAAGGGTAAGGCACCTTTGTTAGCGGTCCCATTAATAAAGTTGGACTTTCTTTTTCGTTCATCAAGCCTGACAAAATGCTGCAACCTGACATCCCAGCAGGCACTTCTCACGATTGTACTAACTACTCCATCTGTTATGAAGGTCACAACAATGTATCTTGTTTTAAATTTTTCTATGGAGTGATTTGTTGTCCTGGCTATCAATTTGTAAAGAAATAAAATGCTATTTCTTCATCGTCTCCTGAGGTGACAGCTTTATTCACAGCTCATGGGAAGCGCATGTTCCAGACTTGTCTTTCTAGAGGAAACACTTAGATGGTGGTCACCTCAGGCTTACTGCACATGCCTGTCCCATATTTGGAGAAAGAGAAAGGCTCCAACTTCCTCTGTGATCATCAGGGCGAGGGGTTTTCGTTTGCAAATTTGAGAAAAAGTATGTGGAATTCTGGCAAGTCCATGAGATCAAGAAATACATGGTCCTGGTCAAGGCCCCTGGCACAGACTTCTCTACCTTGCCACCATGTTAGAAGACCGTTAGTCTACTTCCTGGACTACTTTTCCTGTGGTTCTTGGGGTGGGGTTGGAGTGGCACCTTCTATGGGGACAGGAATAACGGCTGCACCCCCGTTCTCCTCTGTGCCTACAGTTTCAGGATCTTAGCCTCTTTCTTCCTGTACAGTCCAGCACAGAACTCTCCAGAACAGGAGGAGAGAAAGAAGCCAGAGCCAGACGCTGCCAACAGTGGGAAGGCCCGCCATCAGCACTAACACTAGCCTCAAGACGTACAGCCTCCGGGCAGCTTTCACATTCTCTTCTGAGTTTAACGACTCTAAAACTCTCTACTCACTGAAGGATAAACCGCTTAGACAAATAGACTTTCAACCTTTCATTGATCTCTGGATATATTTCCATCACCCAAAGCAAACAATTTGAAAAGGCATTAACTAGAGAGAGATTTCCTTGTTCTGTTTTGTTTTGAGGAAATGCCTTTGGGTCAATATTTAGTCAAGCTATTCTTTTTGCATTTTCTGCATTTGTGATGCTGAAGAATAAGACTCTCCTCAGAAAGTAATAGCTTTAAAAAGAACGTTCATTTCTTCAAAAGAAACGGCTCCCCTTTGTATGAAATTCAGTGTAGCAAACGACAGACTGGTATCTGCTATATGGGTGAGCACGGCTTTGTGCTTTCTGCCTATACATGCAACTGGACGGGACTTAGCCAAGGCCTGCTCGTGGACAGTGTTAAGGATTCCATAGTGTGCCTAGTAAATACACACACACACACACACACACTCCCAAAGTGGCTGATTTTTTAAGTAAACTAATATTAACAAGCACACTAATGTTTTAATATGACTGGGAATCCTCATTCTGTAGAGTTTCTAGGAAAAGTTACTATCCTTACGCCAACGATAATGCCATTATGGAAAACCAAGTTAAAAAATAAATCTAAGCTTTAGAGCTCTGTGTTTAGGGCTGTACTCAGAAAGAAGAAATCTAATTCAGACAAGGTTAATCATTCTCACCCCTTGGTTATTTGCAGGACACTGCCTTCTGATCTGATAACATTTCTTCCCCACCCCCCTCAGTTTCCCCCTGGAAGGTTAAATCCATCCCTACCTCCTTTCTTGTTTTCTTTGTTAATCTCCTCCCTCCACAATTCCTCCACCCTTTCTCGCTCTCCCAACAGAGCTTGTACCTAAAGCAAGTGTTTCCAGGCATTGAGAGCCCCTGACAGACAGACTGGTGCTAGATTCATCTGGGAGTTGGAATTAGAACGAATTTAATAAGAGAACAAACAGGAAACAAAGTGGTTACTTTAAACTCCTTCGATTGCCACCTGATGGCTACCATTGCATTAGGTTGAAGGCACAGCCTCCTTGGCAGAACACAAAGTCTTGAGAGTAAACAGGGCAACTTCACCTCTAGCTGTGCCTTGTCTGAAAAGGGGAGGCGGCTGTCCGTTGGGCAAGGAGGCCCCTGTGCTGAAGAAGAGAGTTTGGACACCCCGTGCCATCTAGATGCATGAAGGGCAGTTCCTGAATGTTACTGAGAATCTGGTGAGCTTCCAGAACCTTCCTGGTGTTTTCCTAGGCACTAGCAAGGAGGAATGTGACAGCCTTCTAGATGAGCCCATATGCACCCTGAGAACAGGATTTTAAAGTCCCTTCAAGAATTCACACAGAAACATCAACATCAAGGTGCCTGAAATTTAATCTGTCAGTATTCTTTCTCAGAAAAAAAAAAAAATCTGTTTTGCTTTTCTGGGGGACTTGAGGGGACAATGGGCGGGATTGCTATTCTTCTAGAATTTGTTTCTGTAGTGAATGTTTGATTGGGATGGTGGCTCCTATTCAATCAACTTGCAAATTATAAACACAGTGCAAGCTTAATTTTTGTTATATATTAGATTACACGTTTGGTTGGAAAATTGGTGATTTTTAGGCCAAAGAAAATGATGCCAGAACTTTGAGACCCATAGACTCTTCCATTCCTTTTTTATGAAACAAAATATTTAGTTTCCCTCTATGTCTTTCTCCCACCTTCAACCCTCCCCTCTCCACACACCCATCTACATCATCCAGGGTCTGACAGTTCAGATACTTGGGATCACTTTTCTGCAGTTCTGGGCTGCGCTATTTTCACAGGTGAACTCAACAATTACCCCTCTGCCTTTTGGGGGGTCCATTCACCGCCCATTATATCTTGTCGTCTTTTCTTCTTTATACAATTATTAATTACAGGTCACTGAGCCACGACGAGGCTGGCTGAGGACCTTTTCGCAGGAAACCCTTCGCACGCATTTCATTGTCTTAGACCCCACGCTTCATGTGGTTAACTTTCAAGCCTGAAGTCTGGTACAAGCCGAGGGCAGAGTGCTTTTCATTCCTGCAAAGTGCCATCTGGGGAAGGTTGTATGCGCTGCCGTACAAACCATGTGTCAGATCAGGGACCCAGTCCAAGCTCCGGCAGGGATACTCACCCTTCCCGGAGCACAGTATGCCGTCCGCTGACTCACACAAACTCTTGCTTTGTTCCTCCGTCATGTTACACTTCCGCGGGTGCTGGCAGAGCTCCCCGAACCAGCCTCTCTCACACACGCAGCGACCGCAGGAGCATGTTCCATGGCCTGCGAAGCAATCGCGGGGTGAGGGGGAGACGGGGAGATGGGTAAATATCCAGCGGAATCGCAGTTCTTAAGAAAGAAATAACATAAACCAAAGGACCTCATTTCCTATCAAGCAAATATGCTTCCCTTTATACAGAGGCAATTTGGCATACTGTTTAAAAGAACTTCACAACCGAGTTCCAGATTAACATACTACATTTGAATGCAGCACAGGAGATGGTCTGAGAAAGAAAGAAAGCTTGAAACGATTTAAAATGGAATTTTATCATCCTTCCTTGATACAAGATACTCCGTCATTTACATTTTTATCAGCACGAAGTCTCAGCGTGCTTCCTCATTGCGCTGGCCAGGACCTCCAGACCAACTTGCAAGGCTAGTCACGTTACCATGGCTCGCTGAATTTATTGATTGCCCTCCTATTGTTTACTAATAAAAAACAAAAGGTTAACTTCCATAGGAATGGCATTATGTTACTTTATCTGTGTATCCTCCCCTTAATAAAAACAGATGTAAGTTTAAGTCAATTTACTGTATAGATTTTAAAAACAGCATAAGGCTTAGATTCTTATCTTTGACTCCCCTCCCCCCCCCCGCCCTTTGGTTTTTGTCATTGGCTCCTGGTTCTGGGGATGTCTAGTTTTTGGTGTATCTATCACACTGTTATTTATGATAGTCACTCACCAGCATAAAGTCCACCTAATTGCTTGCCACCAACATCCCATTACATTGTCTCATCTTCCACTTTAATTTCTTATTTTCAACCAATGCTTTATTCTTTTACCAGTATGTACATTACCTTACAGCCAGATCTCTTCAAACAGAACAACCAAAAAACTATTTTATGGGTAAAATTTTGCTGATGATGAGCAGAGCATTTTCCTAGGCACCAGGGGATACAAAATCAAGCACGGCAGACATGATAGGTAGTTTTAACTGCTGCATAGTTTAAAGGTATACAGTTGGCATTCATGAGCACTTTCTTCTTGAGAAGTCTCTCCTAGAGTGGTTTTCATGACCTGGGACCCTCCTCCTTCCAACACTTCTCCTGTGTCTATTTTTCTACTTTTTTTTCCTGACCTAATTAATGCGAGTATCCCCTGATTGTCTAGTCTTAAACTTCTTTTATCTCTCCATAATCTCTCTTTTGAAAAATTCATAAATCACAGGCTTTCAGATAACGGCAATGATCACAGGACTGTATCTTCAGCCTCTAAATTTCTCCTAACGTCCACTCCCGTGATTGCGTTCTTTGTATTCTTTTTTTTTTTTTAGGATTTTACTTATTTATTTGAGAGAGAGAGAGAGCATAAGCAGAGGGAATGGCAGAGGGAGAAGCAGACTCCCTGCTCAGCAGGGAGCCCGATGCGGGGCTCGATCCCGCGACTCGAGGATCATGACCTGAGCTGAAGGCAGATGCTTAACCGACTGAGCCACCCAGGCATTCCGCATACTTTGTATTCTGCTAGCAACCAAACTGACCCTTCTAGACCTGCATCTACAGTTGTTTTTCCCACAGTTGCTCTTCCGTAGTATCCATTTCTTTTAATGGTGCAACTAGCCTTCCAGTCACCCAGTTCAAACTATTTTGAATCAAGTTTGAATCTCTTACACCCCTCTTCTAAAGAGTTGCCAGAACCTGTCCACCTGTGTCACCATCATCAGGTGACACCTTCTATCAGGTCTTTGAGATACCTTCTATCAGGTCTTTCTCCAACAGTTGTGCTCACCGCTTCTCATAGCGTGACTCCACTCACATATAGCCTTGAGCGCCAGACCCGTGCAGCTCCCTAATGCTTTTGGGATGAAGTACATCTGCTTAGCCTTACTTACATTTTAAGTTCCTGAAATACACCCTGCCCTACTTTTTCAACCTCACCCCCTCTCTTCTCTTCTCCCCTTTCATATACTTCTTGACTTAAACTGATCTATTCGTTGTTCTGCATACATTTCCTGGGCTTTTCTGACTTCATACCTTTGCTGAGATAGAGACCCATTCTCCCTACCCTCATAGCCTAGTCCTGATAATTTTCAAAGCTCAGGGAACATGACTACACCTCTGTGAATATTTTTCTAATATCCCCAAGAGAAGTTCATCGTCTCCTCCTCTGAATTTCTATACTACCTTATTTTTCACCTCTATTGTGGAACTTTGTCTTGATCTTTGTGGTATCTGGTTATGTGTCAGATAAACCCATTATCTGACAGTGAATTCCTTGAGAGTAGGAATCACTTCTGATTCATCACTGTAGTCCTTCAGCGTGCCAAGCACATGGCCTTAGACATAGTGAATCCTCAAAACAATACTTGCAGACTGAAATATTTTTTAAAATATTTTATTTATTTACTTGACAGAGAGAGACACAGCGAGAGAGGGAACATAAGCAGGAGGAGTGGGAGAGGGAGAAGTAGGCTCCCTGCTCTGTGCGGGGCTCAATCCCAGGACCCTGGGATCATGACCTGAGCCAAAGGCAGCCGCTTAACCGACTGAGCCACCAGGCGCCCCTGAAATCTTTTTTTTTAACAAAATCTCCTTTTCATTTGTCCCCCCACAAATCTCAGCTGAGAACCATAAACTGAATCCAGGGCATGTTTATAGGTCATCTGGTTAATACACTGTCACTGAAGGACAAGGGACAGTTCTTGGATGGCTCTGTTTTATTTTTGTGTTTGGTAGGATGCAGTGAAGTTAAGAGAATCAGTGCCCTCTAAGAGCTACATACACAAAAAATAGTTATTAAATTGATTATATCTTGACTTCCCCAATAAAACAAAAGTCCACTTAAAGTGAGGTCTATTTAAAACGTTAAAAAACATCATCCATCTTTGGAGGCAGATAATCTGGGATACTTCTATGCACCAATTACATCCAGCTCAGGACTTTCCCAATGTTCACGTTTCTTTTTTTTTTTTTTTTAATATTTTATTTATTTATTTGAGAGAGAGAGAAGGAGAGACAGTGAGAGAGTACAAGTGGGGAGGAGAGGGAGAAGCAGGCTCCCCGCAGAGCAAGGAGCCCAACACAGGGCTCGACTCAGGACCCTGGGATCATGACCCGAGACAAAGGCAGACGCTTAACTGACTGAACCACCCAGGTGCCCCCAAATGTTCACATTTCTTACTGACCCTGGGCTAGTAAGAATTTCCATCAATTTGACATAATTGGAATCATTTAATCTCTATTGCAGAGAAAGCCATTCTCCCTTTAAATTAGGATATCATTGAGAATAACTAAATGGCTCCTCACAGCAAGTAATTTAATATAAAATTTATATTCAAGGAAATAGGAGATTGTTTTTCATTTATGAGCTCATTCATCACATCCTTCCACAAAATTAGGTTGGCATCTAGCCCAGACAATGGTCAAAATGCATTAGTATTTAAATGTTTTGCTTTGCCATTGATGTGGCTTTTCTTTACCTCAAATTTTGTTAAAATCTTTATACAATCTTCTTAAAATAAACTTTAATGATATAGGCATCCATTCGAGAAACTATTGATTGTGCACCAGGCATCATACTAGTTCTACTGTCATGGTTCTAATAGTTCACATGGGTAGAAAAAAGGACACAAATACACTTGAGCTGTAGGAGAACTAGAGAGGGCACTAGTATATTCTACAGTGAGAACAATGCTAACTGGAGTAGTCAGAGAAGTAGTCCGAGAAGTATCCCTCCGTGACACCCAAGGGATAAGAAGAAGCCAAGATAGCCAATGTTCTAGGAAAGCTAATGAAAAGTTCTTGGAATAAGAAAGCTTGGCAGGTTATAGGCAGTGAAAAAAAGGTCAATGTGTTCAAAGAAAATTGAGTAAGAAAAAAATGGAATAAATACCAAAGCCGGAGAAATATTCAGGAATGAGAACAGAGGAAATTGTCTATTCTTGGTAAGGAGTTCCCATTTTATTCTCAGAAGAATGGGAAATCATTGAAGGGTGTTATGCAAGAGAGTGATATGATATGATTTACAATTTGCAAATTCAGCTTGGCAACTGGGTGGGAGAGATTAAGGTGTACTGGGAGGCACTGAGTATGGGGAAAGTGAGAGAGTTGCAGCAGTCCAAGTGGAAGGTGACAAAGGTGGAGGCACCAATGAGGAGAGTAGACAGAGGGGGTGGTGCCTATAGGACTTGGTGTTGGATTGGACGTGGTGAGTGAGAAAGAAAGGACTAGTTTTCTAGCTAGGGAAATATAAATAATGATGCTATTTGTTAGATATGGAAGCAGCAGGACGGCATGGCTGGGAGCAGAAAAGATCAGAAAATCAGCTCTTGCTTTGAACCTCGTGTGTCTGAGATGCTCTTATCAACCAAGTAGACAGGTCATATGAGCAGGTGACACAAGTCTGGTGCTCACAGGTTAGGGCTAGGTTATATATGCTGGAATTTCTAAAAAAATAGATAACATTTGGAAGTGAATGAGCCCACCTAGGGAGAAATAAATCTTGGGGAACTCCAATATTTAGGGCTCGGGTAGAGGAGGAGAAGTAGGACAGGTAGGAACATCTAGTAAAGAAGGAAGACAATGAGACAATTTTATAAAATGACAAGGGAAGCTATTCCATAAAGGTGGCCTACGGAGTGGAATGTTCCTGAAAATTGGGAGTCCAAAAAAAAGACCATGAGAATAGTTTCAGTCAGCTTTTGCCAGACCATCTCTACTATGCTATCACTTAGGCCTATAAATGAAGCACCCAAGGGTGGCAGACCTATTGGAGTATAATGCATATATACCATTCAGTAAGAACAACGTGTCTGCTGGGTGGCAGAATCCATAGTGATAAGTTATCTTCATATAATAAGTGTACAACAGATCGTTCTAGAATGAACCTTAGAAAGATCCAGTCTAATGAACTATTTGAAGTACACTAAATTGGTCTTCACTTGACTTCCCAAGTCTTCACACCGGTGAGTAATTTTCCATTCGATTTTCACTTCCAGAGCCACTCACCTCTCCCAGATACTTAGCTCCTTGCATCTGGTATCCCCATCCTTGCTCTTTCTTC